TAAAATAAAATAAAAAGAAAATAAAAATCACGACGTTTCGGAGGCAACACAGATGACGGAAGCTTGTGTTGCCTCCGAAACGTTGTGATTTTTATTTTATTTTTTATTTTATTTTTATTTTATGAATTTCAATTTTTTACCTACGTGACTTTACCGAACAAACCTAAGAACCGGTTCAGATATTCGTCACGTGTGTTGGTGGCCGTGTGCGGGTAATCGAACTCGGGTCGCCAGATTCGCGGTGCAGTGCGCTAACCACTACACTCCCGCTCCCCACTTACTCACGTGCAAGCATGCACACAACACAGACCCAGGTCACTCTTGCGAATGAGACTCATCGCTGGAATCTCGAGTCGGCCCGCATCACCGCTCGCACTCCATCGCACGCTCACGCACGCAACACAAACTCGCACGCACACACAAGGCAAAGATCCCCCCCCTACGTCTAGCCTTGACAGACTGTTGGGGCAAGTGCTGTTAGCGAGCACCTATGACACACGAGGGGGTTGGTGGGCCAGAACCACGCCTGACCGCTTTTGTTTACCCAGAGTGGCGATGTTTACACACCGCACCAAGTACCCATCGTAGGCTGAGTCGTCCTAGGGGAGGCCCAGGACCGGGATCAGAAATCTACCACCGATGTTTGTCCTTGAGCGGGAATCGAACTCGGAACGCGGGTTCTGTCAAGTGGCGTGCTAACCGTTACCACTACGGCTCCCCACTCCGTCACGCATGCACGCACGCTCACCCAACAAGGCGATTCGATGTCGGAGCAACGTCATCATCATTACCACCACCACTACCATCTTCATCACCATAGTCAGGGGCCTCCCTCCCGATAGGAGTTCCCTCCCCCCCCCCCCATTACTGATGCCGCACACACGCGCACACCTCATCACAAGTCGCACAAATAAATCTCTGTTTGTCATCACCTCCCTCCCTCCCTCCCGCTCACTCGCTGCCTCCTCCTCCTCTTCTCTCGTGTTGCCTAGAGACCAGACCGGCGCATTGAATCACCCGTCCGCGTGGCTTTTTTTGGGGAGGAATTCGGTGGTGGTGGTGGTGGGGATGATAGGGGAGGTGATGGTGGTGGTGCGTGGATGAAAGAGGGTTGCGATCTTGGTGTATGTGGTGGTGGTGGTTATGTTGAATAGCGGAGATGGCGGTGATGGTGGTGGTGTGGGGGATATGGCGGAGGTGATGGGTAGTGGAGATGATGATGGTAGAAATAGTGGTGGTGGTAATGGCATTGGTGGTGGTGTGCGGGATAGGGGAAGTGGTGGGTGATAGTCGATAATGATGCCGATGGCTATGATCATGACGGTGGTGGTGATTGGTGGCAGTTGTGATAGCGATTGTGGCGGTGATGGCAGAGGTGGTGATGGGGGAGGTGATGGTTGAGGCGGTGATGGTGGTGATGGTGGAGGTGGTGATAGTGGTGAGCGAGATATCAGGTATAGCGCGTGTCCCGAATGAGTTGTGAGCGAAAATCACACGCAGAGTGTTAACCCACGGAGTGCGAAGCGGCTCTGAGATTGAACAAATGTAGCAACGCACATATACAACCCACATACATAACCCACACACACAACCCACACACACAACCCACAAACACAACGCACATACACAACCCACACACATAACCCACACACACAACCCACACACACAACCCACACACACAACGCACATACACAACCCACACACTACCCACACGCACAACCCACACACACAACCCACACACACAACCCACACACACGCCACCCACACACACAACCCACAGAACAAGCCACATACCAACCCACACACTACCCACACACAACCCACACACAACCCACACACACATACACTACCCACACACACAACCCACACACACACAACCCATACACAACCCACACACACGCAACCCACACACAACCCACACACACGCCAACTCACACACACAACCCACACACACATCCCACAGAACAAGCCACACACCAACACACACATCAACCCACACACACAACCCACACACACACAACCAACACTCAACCCAAACACACACAACCCACACACACACAACCCACACACACACACAACCCACACATACACAACCAACACACAGCCCACACACACACAACCCACACACACACAACCCACACATACACAACCCACACACACACACAACCCACACACACACAACCCACACACACACAACCCACACACACACACAACCCACACACACACAACCCACACACACACATACAACCCACACACACCAACTCACACACAGACAGGCCACACGGACCGGAGATTGTGAGCACAGTTAGTGCTGGGTCTAGGGTTATGGTTGATGGGTTCGGGTTTCCGGGCTCGCTGTAAGGGGTAGACTTTGAAACGAATCATTTTGACCCAATATCCCGAAACAGGACCCTCTTGAAAACAGCGACGAGTCTGAGTAAAAGCAAACCTGCCAAGCCCTTATCTTACCTTATTACAGACCAAATCAGACCTCATTGGTCCCCGGGTGCCCTTTATACACTTCAACGTTCATCCTACAAAGTCCCATCACAAGGTTGGAAACACAAACTAATAAACAAAAATGCGTTTGTCGGTATTGAAACCGCTGTACGCCGTATGGACCTGAAAACTCAATTTCCCTTGTACAAGAACACGGGGTAATTTCTCCGTGCGGAGAAATAAAACAGCGCCCCTCCTTGACCGTTAGCGCGGCGCTCCAAAGTCGTTGCGCAAAAACCCACCTCCCTTCTCCCTCCACGCCGACCATCGTGGTGAAGTATGGACAATAACGAAAACCCCTCCCCTCGCCCCCCGCAAATCCAGCGGGCTCGACGTCAACCAGCGGTGGAGTGACGACGCCTAAGGGTGACGCGTGGGCGTTTTCGTGCGTCTCTGCCGCTCGAAAGCTCAAACCTCTCAGGCCCACGTGGGCCCCCCTCGCAGCGTCAACGTTGCTCATCTCATTGCCAGAGGCGTCCATAGACGAGTGGGCGGTGTGGGGGGTGCCTGGGGGGAACTTCCACAGTGTGGCCCCCACCCCCTCCACCCCTCCCCCCTCCTTCCCCCAGCGCCGGCAGACGAAACAGGAAAAGTATTACATCTGATGATACCGTGGCGGTGACGTGTTTACCCCCTGCAACACCTACCCCCCTCCCCGCCCATCAAAGCGCGGGGCCCCGGGCGGTCACCCCGACTCACCGCACCCTTAAGGGGATGGCTCTGCGAACGTACATCTCACGCTGCCGACAGCACCATCATCATCAACATCGCTGCCATCACAACCTCGCTCGTCCTCCATCCTCCTCCTCTACACCCTCCTCCTCCCCCCCGCCTCTCCCTCCTCCGACGAGTAATTGGTAAACGCTGCGAGTAAAATATCAAGCAACGCCGCACCCGTAGCGGGAACGCGTGTCCCTCCACTCCCCACCACTACGACATCTCCCTCCAGCATCGGCCCCTCCCCTCCCCTCCATCTCCCTACCCCCTCTCCCTCCTCCGTGCATCTCGAGCTCCCTCATCTCCCCCCCCCCCTCTCTCGCTCTCTCGTTCTCCTCCAACTCCCTCGCCTCTGACTCCTCCATCTCTCCTCTCTCTCTCTTTCCTCCGCCTCTCTCTCCAATCTCCCTCGCCTCTCGCTCACTTCTCTCCTCCGTCTCCCCGCCTCCCTCGCTCCCGGTCTCTCATCGCACACCACACCAATCCCTCCCCCACCCCACTCACTCCCTCCCTCCTCTCCCCGTCGTCATCCATCCCTGCCTGCCCTTTAAACCCTCACTCCCTTCCTCGCTCTTTTAAATGATTCCCCCCTCCCTCCCTCCCTTCATTCACGAACACAATCTCTGTGTTTCTACGTTGCATACACACAACTCCCTCCCTGCATCCATCCCTCCCTCCCTCTCTGCACCACTCTCTCCATCCACCACCCTTCCTCCTTGCATCCCTCCCTTCATGCATCCTTCGCTCCCTCCACAAAGACAACGATCCCCCGCACAGCCTTCACGGACTGTCGGGGCAAGTGCTGTCAGCGAGCACCTATGAAGTGCTCTTCCTCCACAGACACACGTACACAAGCTCTCTCCCCCCCCTCGGCCCCCCCTCCTCTCTCCCCCCTCCACCCCCCCTCGGCCCCCCACCCACTCCTCTGGTGCGTTATTTGAGCTGCTGCTGTGGGTCATTGCCGGCCCAGGTTTCGGGTCAATAGCGCGAGAATTCAGATTCCAAATATTGGCAGAAACGCCCATCATAGCCGCACAGTCGCTGTGGTCAATGATTCTTGTATTTTAAAAGTTTGCCCTTTGATACCGGCAAATAAGAGAGCACACGTGGGAATGGCGATCGGGGGGGGGGGGGGTGGGTAACAAATATAACATTTGTATATTTATTTATTAGGGATCGTCTGGGGTGTTCAGCTAATCATATTTCTCACCACGTCTCCTCCCCCCGCCCCGTGCCTCCCCCGCGTCTCCCCCGCGTCTCAACTATATCGCCACCGCAACTCGCCCCTATCTCCCCCCCGTATCTCCCCCCGTATCTCCCCCGTATATCCCCCCATTATCTCCCCCGTATCTCCCCCCGTATCTCCCCCCGTATCTCCCCCTGTATCTCCCCCCATTATCTCCCCCCGTATCTCCCCCCCTATCTCCCCCCTATCTCCCCCCCGTATCTCCCCCCGTATCTCCCCCCATATCTCCCCCCGTATCTCCCCCCGTATCTCCCCCCTATCTCCCCCCCGTATCTCCCCCCGTATCTCCCCCCATATCTCCCCCCGTATCTCCCCCCGTATCTCCCCCCATATCTCCCCCCGTATCTCCCCCCGTATCTCCCCCACGCCTCTCCCGCGTCTTCCCCACCCGCTCCGTTTCCCCATAGCTCCCCCGAATCTCCTCCATATCCCCTCCATACCCCCCCTATACCCCCCTCCGTATTTCCCTCGCATCTCCCCCGCATCTCCCACCCACAGCCCCCAGCCCCCACCCCCCCCTTCCCCCGCCTCTCGTCACCCTGTGGGAAGAGAGGCGCGTTGTCGTTGACGTCCTCCAGGGTGATGGTGACGGTGGCGGTCCCCGTGAGGCCACCCTTCTGGCCCGCCATGTCCTTGCCCTCGATCACCACGCGGAACAAGCTGCGCGCCTCCCGGTCCAAGTTGGAGTGTGCCGTGCGGATCTCTCCTGCGGCAGCAGAGGCGGAAGCATCGTCGGCATCGTGAGCAGTGGTGCCATCGTCATCATCATCAGTGCCATCGTCACCAGCGTTACTCTCTCATCGTCATCATCATCATTGCCATCGTCATCATCATCGGTGCCATCGTCATCATCATCAGTGCCATCGTCATCATCATCAGTGCCATCGTCATCATCATCAGTGCCATCGTCACCAGCGTTACTCTCTCATCGTAATCATTATCAGTACCATCGTCATCATCATCAGTGCCATCGTCATCATCATCAGTGCCATCGTCATCATCATCGGTGTCATCGTCATCATCATCAGTGCCATCGTCATCATCAGCAGTGCCATCGTCATCATCATCGGTGCCATCGTCATCATCATCAGTGCCATCGTCACCAGCGTTACTCTCTCATCGTCATCATCATCATTGCCATCGTCATCATCATCGGTGCCATCGTCATCATCATCAGTGCCATCATCATCATCATCAGTGCCATCGTCATCATCATCAGTGCCATCGTCACCAGCGTTACTCTCTCATCGTAATCATTATCAGTGCCATCGTCATCATCATCAGTGCCATCGTCATCATCATCGGTGCCATCGTCATCATCATCGGTGCCATCGTCATCATCATCAGTTCCATCGTCATCATCATCAGTGCCATCGTCACCAGCGTTACTCTCTCATCGTCATCATCATCATTGCCATCGTCATCATCATCGGTGCCATCGTCATCATCATCAGTGCCATCGTCATCATCATCAGTGCCATCGTCATCATCATCAGTGCCATCGTCACCAGCGTTACTCTCTCATCGTAATCATTATCAGTACCATCGTCATCATCATCAGTGCCATCGTCATCATCATCGGTGCCATCGTCATCATCATCAGTGCCATCGTCATCATCATCAGTGCCATCGTCATCATCATCAGTGCCAACGTCATCATCATCAGTGCCATCGTCATCATCATCGGTGCCATCGTCATCATCATCAGTTCCATCGTCATCATCATCAGTGCCATCGTCACTAGCGTTACTCTCTCATCGTCATCATCATCAGTGCCAACGTCATCATCATCAGTGCCATCGTCATCATCATCAGTTCCATCGTCATCATCATCAGTGCCATCGTCACCAGCGTTACTCTCTCATCGTCATCATCATCAGTGACATCGTCATCATCATCGTTGCCATCGTCATCATCATCAGTGCCATCGTCACCAGCGTTACACTCTCATTGTCATCATCATCTTCAGCATCATCATCAGCATGGAGGTGAGTATGGGGGGTGGAAGTGGGGGCGGGCAAGTGGTGTTTGTGGAGGTACGGGAGGAAGGATAGGTGAACAGGGGGAGGAAGGTGGAGTGGGGGAGGGGGCGAGGTATGGGGTAAGGGGGCATGAGCGAGACGGTGAGGGGAGGTGGGTGGGTGGGGGGAGGGAGGTGGGTGGGTGGAGGGGGGCGGTGGGTGGGTAGGGGGGGAGGGCCATACCCCACCCCACCCCGCCACCACTCTCTGAGTAGCCGACTGAGTGAGTGTCTCAGCGACTGCCCCCGTTGTGAGCTCTGATCGCGCGGGTCCGGCCGAGGCTCCGCGCCTTCTCTGCCACCGTCTGCGAGGAGTGCTCGTGCTTATGATTGCTATCAATCAAGCAGCAGCAGCGGGATCGGTAACATCCCTGGCTGTGTCCTATCGAGGATCCATACCGTGCGGATGCGTTTGATAATTTAACATCAGCCACCCATGGAGGTGACGAAACACGCGTTAATTAAGTGAGGAGCTGTAATTGATTAATGAGACGGAAGGAGAGGAGGAGAGGGAGGGGGAGCCGGGAGGGAGTTCAGGAGGAGGAGGGGGTTACGGGAGGAGATGGGGCAGGATAATGGGAGGGATGGAAGGGAGGGGGGAGAAAGGAGAGAGGGGACGGAGTGGAGGGAGGGGATGGGGAGAGATCTGGAGACGTGCTGAGATGGAGAGACATCGGGGGAAAAAAGAGAGACAGAGAGAGATCGAGAGAGACACACGGGGAGATTGGAGCAGAGATGGGGAGAGACGCATGGTGACAGAGAGACGCACAGAGAGATACGGAGAGAGACGGGGAGAGACGGGGGGAGGAATGGGAGGTGGGACATTGGGATGCAGCAGGGGGAGATTCGGCATAATAATAATATTTATACTGGAGGAATCCGACAAACTATGCAGCTCTTTTGTACAGCTATCCAGTCGAGGGCAGATCAGAACGTTACAACAACAAACAACGCTTAAACAAACAATCGGAGTGCAAAGTATAGGAAAGGCAAACACATCACTTAAAAAGTATACAAATAAAAAAAAACACTTTTTTTTAACCAGGTGAGGCCCTACCGAGCTATTATGAGCTTCTTTTTCAGAAGCGACCTGGCCACAAATGATTGCTCAACAAAGTGGCTTATCGCGTGGACATTCATAGCAGCAAAATCATCTCAATTATAGAGACAGGGGATTGGGACATGGGAGACAAGGGAGATGTGGAGACACGGGGGGAGACACGGGGGTGGGAGGGGGGAGCAGGGGGCTTGTCTAACCGGTGTTGGCGTCGATGGAGAAGTATGGCTGTCCTTCTAGCAGCCGATAGACGACCCTCGCACTGTTCCCATACGAAGAGTCGTCCGCGTCCGTAGCCGTGACTCGAGTGACGGACGTTCCTGGGGTACACGGGAGGACGTGTGAGACATGGGAACATGGGGACACGGAGACACGGAGACATGGGGACATGGAGACATGGGGACACGGGGACACGGAGACACGGGGACACGGGGACACGGAGACACGGGGACACGGAGACATGGGGACACGGAGACACGGGGACATGGGGACACGGGGACGTGTGAGACACGGGGACACGGGGACACGGAGACACGGAGACATGGAGACATGGGGACACAGAGACATGGGGACACGGAGACACGGAGACATAGGGACATGGAGACATAGGGACACGGGGACGTGTGAGACACGGGGACACGGGGACACGGAGACATGGGGACATAGGGACATGGGGACACGGGACGTGTGAGACACGGGGACACGGGGACACGGAGACACGGGGACACGGAGACATAGGGACATGGGGACACGGAGACACGGGGACACGGAGACATAGGGACATGGGGACACGGAGACACGGGGACACGGAGACATAGGGACATGGGGACACGGAGACACGGGGACATAGGGACATGGAGACATGGGGATACGGGGACGTGTGAGACACGGGGACATGGGGATACAGATAAATGGGGACATTGGGACATTAGGACATGGGGACATAGGGACAAGGAGACACGGGGATCCAGAGACACACACAAATACATTCTGTCCTGGGCCTCTCCTTCTGTCGGCTCAGCCTCAAATGAGTACCTGGTGTGGAGTGTAAACATCAGGAGTGGAGAGACGAAATCAGCGGGCTGTGGCGCTGGCCAGAATCAATAGCAGTGGTTCATAGAGAGATGGAGAGGACCGGGGGAAGGGTATAAGGATTGGCCAAGGTGCGGTGCGAAAGAAGTCCAACGTGCATAGAGCAGACGAGAGAAAGATGATGAATCAGACGGAGAGGGTGGAAAGTGAACGGAGACGCGGAAGAGCGAAAGGGGTCGGGAGAGATGCGGAGAGGGAGGAGGAAGAGGCTGCTGCGTGGAACAGCGTCTGTTCTCACCGTGGGCGGAGAGAGGGAGGGGAGGGGTTTCAGAGTGTGGGGGGGGGGGGGGGTCACACAAGCCACGTGGTTTACGGGAGGCTTGAGCTGCTTTAGAGAGACGATCGTGGAGCCAAATACTGATTGGTAGAATTGACGATGTGGAGGGACCCTCCTGAAACGATCGTCTTGAGACTCGGCGAGGGTTTGCCGAATAAATAAAATCAGTCGCTATCATCATTGCTGTTGTTACAAAGACAAATATCCCCCTAGTGCCTTTAACAGACCGTTGGGGCAAGCGCTGCTAGCGAGCACCTACGAAGGCCGGCTCGGCACCCGACATTGGCGGGTGGGTGGCTAGAACCACACCCGGACGCCTTTGTCTTTCCAGTGTACCAACGTTGGGCGAACGTTATTCCAACGTTGGACGAACGATGGACGAACTTTGGACGAACGTTTAGTTATACAATTTAGCATCGCCGCCCACACCCAGAGTGGGGACCCGTGAATGTCTCCGCTCAATCATCTCCGGGCCCGTAACGACACAAATGTTATTAATTGAACGCAACGGTAAATAAATAAACGGAGCAGGGTATGGATTTGTGAATTGTCTGGGGGGAGGGGTGAGGCTGGGGGAGGGGGGGGCGGGGGGAGAGTGGGGGGAGCAGTAGCGCAGTGGTTAGCGCACTGCGCTACGAAGCCTGGCCACCTGAGTTTGATTCCCGCTCATGGTTTTCGATGTTGATTGGAGAATGTCTGAAACAGTCCTCAGGCTCCCACTGGTCGAATCAGCCTTAAATGTGGTGGTGGGGGTGGTGATTGCAAAAGAGGGGAGCGGAAGTGCAGCGGTTAGCGCGCTCCGCTACGAACCCGGCGTCTGGAGTTCGATTCCCGCTAAGGGCCAACATTCGTGACGATTATCTGAACCATCCCGAGCCTCCCCTAGGTAGACTCAGCATCAAAATTCATAGCTAGTCCGATGTGTAGTAAACATTACCCATTAGGGAGACAAAGGCGGCCGGGTGTGTCGCTGGCCACCCTTCCCCTCCTGTGCCGTGCCGGCCTTCATAGGTGCTTCCTAACAGAACGTGTCCCAACAGCCTGTTCAAGACAAAGATCCCCGTATAGCCTTTAACAGACTGAGCACCTATGAAGGCCGGCACGACACACAACGGGGGTGGGGTCGCCAACACCACCCACCCCCGGCCGCCTTTGTCTCCCTAGTGGCGATGTTCACACACCTCACAGGTACTCATTCGAGGTTGAGTCGACCTAGCGGGAGAGGCCCAGGACTGGTTCAGATAATCGTCACCGGCGTTGGCTGCGAGCAGGAGTCGAACTCGGCTCGCAGGGTTCGTAGCGCAGCGTGCAAACCGCTGCCGCCACCGCTCCCCCACACCGCCACCACCGCCGCCACCACCGCCGCCACATCCTCCGCACGTGCCTCAACCCTCACTCACTCCATCACCTCCACTGACACTCCCCACTTGAGCTCATCTCAATCACGCATAATCTCTCCGATTTTCCATGCTCGCTCTGAATCCAGCAATGCAGCCCCAGCACGGAACCCGGGCATTCATCATCACCCACCGCCGCTCTCGGCCGAAATTTATTCCGCCCAAAATATTTCACTCCGCCGAATTAAAAATGTCCCTTTTTCTTTATTTATTTATTTGCCTCCCTCAAAAACGCGAGCCCGCGCGGACGTCTCTCACTCCGTTTATTCCGCCCCGACCTGAACTGCTCCACGGAGCCGCAGAGACGCGTTTCAATATCATGCGCACGGATAAACCAGGCGAACACGCCGACGCTGGGGCAACGTTGGGAATGTGGTTGTCGCAACGTTGGCCCGACATTCGTCCAACGTTGGACAAAATTCAAACGAATGTTGGTCCGAGAGTGTGGTGCGCGGTGTGCATGATTGCATGTTGAACTTCTTTCACACCACACGTAGCCAACCGCGCTGATGGGAGGTGAGGGGGGAGGAAAGGCCAACGGACGGTGGGTGGTGGGTGGTGAGTGGTGGTGAGTGGTGGTGAGCGGCGACTCACCGATGGGAGACATCTCAGGCACGCTGGCGTGGTACGGCTCGTCGGGGAAGCGCGGCTCGTTGTCGTTGATGTCCTGAACTTTGACCACGAACTGCGTGGGCGGCTCCAGGGGCTGTCTGGTCACCGCGTCCACCACCTTGCACCACGTCACAACCACGTCACAACCACGTCACAGCCACGTCACAACCACGTCACAACCACGTCACAACCACGTCACAACCACGTCACAGCCACGTCACAACCACGTCACAACCACGTCACAACCACGTCACAACCACGTCACTCTAGAGTGAACCACATCGCTCGTGAGGCTGCCACATCGCATCTCCGAGACAACCACGCCAACCAACGCGGGGACGTCGTAACCATGGCGGAGGATGTCCGTCTTTCACAGGAGGAGGTGGGTGGGAGCGTGGCAGCCCGGAGGAAAGAGACAAGAATCCGACGCCGCTGAAAAGCCTTGGTTCCATTCGAGGTCTCGGCCACAACCGCAGCGTTTGCGCGTGGGTCTCTTAGTATAGCGAGTTGATGGCCTAAGCCCGGTCACCAGTGAATATCATAGAGACCCACAGACTCACACATAGGCCCATAGACTCACATAGAGACCTATAGACTCACATAGAGACCCATAAACTCAAACAGAGAGTCATAGACTCACACAGAGACCCATAGACTCACAGAGAGATCCATAGACTCACACAGAGACTCTTAGACTCATACAACGACCCATAGACTCACAGAGAGACCCATAGACTCACACAGATACCCATAGATTCACAAAGAGACTCAGGGACCCATAGAGGCACTTAGAAAACCATAGACTCACATAGAGGACCATAGATTCACTGATATACCCAAAGACTCACATAGCGATCCATAGATTACATAGAGACCCATAGACAACATAGAGACCCGTAGACTCAAGCAGAAACCGCAGACTCACACACATTTACATAGACACAAATAGACTCACACAGAGAGAACTATATAGAATCGCATCACAACCACTGCACACAGGCATACGAAAACAACCCCTGTCATATTAAATGTAGGCACTGCACTTCGTTTTGGCTAAATTCCAGACGTGAGGATTAAAAATATCGGTTTTGGCTGTCATGTGACGAACGCTCCTCTGTGTAGCAGCAGGACGCGTGAGAAAGTGCTGCCCCTGGGGCTGCTGGGGAAGGGATGATTGGTTCGGGATTGTCACCCGGGACTACCCCCACCCACCCTCCCCTCCACCCCCCCGTTTCCTACTCCCCCCCCCCCCCTACCCCCCCCCTCCTCCTCCATCCCTCACCTTGACTCCCTCCCTCCACTCTCTCCCTCCCTCCACGTATTCCCTCTCTCCCCACCTTCCCCCCACCTCTCTCCCACCCCCCACCCACCTCCCCTTCCACCCCCCGTTTCCTACTCCCCCCCCACCCCTCTACCCCCACCTCCTTCCCTCACCTTGACTCCCTCCCTCCACTCCCTCCCTCCACTAATTCCCTCCCTCCTTCACTTCACCCATTGCTCCCTCCTTCCTTGTTCATATCCTCTCTCTCTCTCTCTTACCCCTCCACCCCTTTGCCTCACATCTCCCTCCCTCCCCACCTCCCCCCCACCTCTCTCCCCCCCACCTCTCCCCCCCCCACCTCTCCCCCCCCACCTCTCCCCCCCCCACCCACCCCCGCCCCTCCTCTACCTGCGCAAGCAAGGTGTAGAGCGACTGTTGTTCTCGGTCCAGAGCCTGGGACACTCGGATGTCGCCCGTGTGCTCGTCGATTGTGAAGAGGGACTCTGCTCCCTCCCCCGTGAGCAGGTAGAGAACTGATCCGTCGCCAGGGTCCTGGTCAGAGTGGAGCTGAGGGGAGGGGCCGGGGTGGGGGGAGGGGGTGGAGCAGAGAGAGAGCGAGAGAGAGAGGTTGTGTCACGTTTCTTGACATTCGACAAGTAGGAGTCGTGAAGGGGCAAAGCTTTGGGCTTTTTTTGCTTGGAGGCTCAACCAGGACACGTGGGTTCAGCCCTGCCCGCTAGACACGTCCCAGCCATTATTATATTATTTTATTATATTATATTATTGTTTAATTTTGATTATATTATTATTTCCCTTCTACGTGACTTTACCGAAAGAACCAAGAAGACGCCCCAGCCAGTTATCAACCCCGCCCAGAGTCAAAAGCACTTTGATTCTAAATGTGGACGGAAGGAATGAACAAAACAGAGGGACCAGAGCAAAAATCCACGCGACCACGTGCAGAGAGACTCACATGCAAACTGCAAATATACAGCAGGCGTCAGGGTCGGAATAGAACCCACGGTCTCCTGCATACCGGGTGAGGTAGTTAACATCTCGCACTCACACAGACTCACCTTGCCGATCTTGAAAGGCTCGGGCATTTTAAATTCTTCCACCACGAAGAACTGATTCCACACCCAGCTCCGCTTGCTCCTCCGAGCCAGCCCCAAGTCATGCCCTTGACCCTGAGCCTGGCCTTGACCTGGCTGGATCGCCTGCCAGGCTGCGGTCGCTGGCTGGAGAGGGGCTAGGGCGACGACGACGAGGAGAATGACAGCTCCCCCGAGAAGCGGGACGTCGAACCCGGGCGAACGCATCTCTCTTGTAGCCAGATACGTCGTCCTCCAATACGGGCAACTGGTGACAAGGCGGCGGTAGTGATGATGATGATGATGATGATCTTGGTGGTGGTAGAGGAGAACGAGGACCTGCGGCTGCTGACGAGCAGGCGGACTTGTGGGAAGCTTTGAATTTGACGGACGTGGAATTCACTGTCGGTTGGGGGGAGCGAGAGCGAGAATAATGATCAGCGTCGCCATCAGAATCACCATCAGCAACAGCGGTGGCACTAGCAGCAGCAGAAGCAGCAGGCAGCAACAACAGGAATGATAGTCGTTCAATATCATCATCATCAGCTAAAATATCATCATCAGCAGCAATATCATCATCAGCAGCATCATCAGCAGCAGCAATATCATCATCGCACCTCCGATTAACGCGGTTGGCTACGTGCGGTGCGAACGAAGTTCAACATACATATAGTAAGGCCACAATCAACAGCAACAGCAGCAGTTCGCCATCATCATTAGTAGCAGCAGCAGCAGCATCGCCATCAGCAACATCATCACCATCAGCAGCAGCATCAGGATCATCACCACCTGTGTCACAATAACCCTTAAAACTAGAACCTGAGATACTGTACTCCCATCCCTGCGTGATCCACCATCCCCCAACGCTGTATTTGTGTATACATATTCCCACGTGACAGAGTGTACGATAATACGTTATTTTATAAACGTGCATATTTAGTTCCCCAGGATAGCCTCACTGAGTCCCAGGAGCTATAATGTGTGGGCAGGTCGCTTATAAAAAATTGTTTAAGACCGAAGTGGGCTTTGCCTGGTAGGATGGGGATGGTTTAGTTTAATTCGTATGTGTTTTGTGGGATTTGTTTACCTTCCCTGTACTTTGCACTACGATCTATATGTTTTATTCTTCTTCTTCTTGGTTCTTTCGGTAAAGTCACGTAGAAGGGAAGTTCTTACCCCGTGCCCCGAGTGGACATCTGTGAGAAAATGGCTTCATCGCTCATCTGATTCCCCCAGAATAAATGCACATTCTGATGCATTGCCCAGGAGGGTGCTGCTACAGTGGGATGTGTGGGCCATGCATTCCCTGAGTGATGAGAGTTTGGCTTCGTGTGGTGGAGGAAAAATCCGAGAATCCCGGAGCAAAATCCCCAGCAGACAAACGCGCGCGAGGTTTATGAATCCGAGACAACTCCGCACAGACGGATTCACGATCCCACTTCCTGCACATCCATCTCCAGACCACCTCAAAGCTGTCGAGAACGGACATCAACATCACACCACCACCACCACAATCACAACAGCGACGACCGCCGTTCGCCACTAAGTGGCAGTGACGTCGCCACAGCGTCTGTGCCAGGCTGCGTGCTCGCTACAGGTCACGGGACAGACCCAGGTGCCGTGGGTTTTACTGACTGAGATGACCACTGGCATACGCACCACCTCTGCTCCCCGCTGTGCCAGCCCGCTGCGTTTTAACCCCCCGGTCGCCACTGCTCGTTGTTGTGAGCGTCGCTTCTCCACCCTCCGCTGTTGCTGGAGGACGACTGCCTCCAACTGCCCAGTAGCGTTCCTCGCGAGCCTCCGCCTCCACAGAGGCCGATCTCGACACCACCGGTACCAGCCATCGGCTCATCCACTCAGCTCCACATTCTCCTGTACCGCATCAGCTAATGATCTTCTCTGGCCCAGTGCCGTGCACAATTAGCCCTCGCCCCCCCCCCCCCCTCTCTCTATCCGGCCGAACAGAAGCTGCTTGGTCATGCGGTGGTAATCACAACCACCATCACCAGCCACCAAATGTAGTCTCCGCCGCCTCATTGCACACTAAATTGATGCGCGAATTTAAGCATGTGCTTAAGAATTAATTATTTACAATGAACGCAAATTGCATGCAAATTATTACGCGCACGCGACATCTCAACTGCTCCTGGCAACGAACAGCGGGGCAAGGAGCGGTGCAAACGGGAGAGACGGCGAAGTTGAGGCTTTAAATATTTTTGTGATTTCATAAAATTATCGCTGTAATAATACGCAGCATTTAGAAAGCGCATTCGAAGTACTCAACGCGCCGTGTGTTTATCACGTTAATAAATATATCGATAACAAATCATAACAACAACAGATATAAAGTGTGGCCTTAAAGGTGAATATATACGTATAACGATTATATAATATTTCGATTTAAAGCTTTCGTGACTGCAGGGATTCATCTTTTTGATTCTTTCGGTAAAGTCACGTAGAAGGGAAATAATAAAATAATAAAAATAAAACATAATAAAATAATTCTCACGACGTTTCGGCCACAACGCAAGCAGCCGTCCTCAGGTGGAGAGCAGGTCTGTCGAGTACACAGAGTCTGAGGACGGCTGCTTGCGTTGTGGCCGAAACGTCGTGAGAATTATTTTATGTTTTATTTTTATTATTTTATTATTTCCATTCTACGTGACTTTACCGAAAGAACCAAGAAGATTATATAATATATAAAAACATATAATAGGCAACGTTTCGGGCAATGGTCCTTCTCCGTAGCACATTGCTTGCTCTCCACTGCCACCACTGCAGTTTCGCCCAATAACCGGTTTAAATTAAAATGTAAAGATTGTTATAAATTGTGATTAGTTTTTTTTAAACGGTGAATACAACTTTGCTGAACACAGGCATAAAAGTCGGGACGACAACAACAACAAAAAACCGTCAAGCGGCCAGTAACAAACAGCACCCAACCTCCTCCTCAAACTCCCCATTTCCTCCACCGATTTCGACTCGATGGTAACAAAACAAAAAACGTCGCGATTCGGAGTCTCGAATAAATTTCCGAGGACCGATTTGATAGACGCCAAAAGGAAATTCCGCACCCGATTGTGGGACCCTCCGTCGCGTGCTCTGAAGAAAGGTGCCATCGTTCGAAAATTAATTTATTTTATATTATTGCACGTTTAAGGACACACACACACGCACGCACGCGTGAACACGGTGTTGGTATTGACGGTCACTGTTCGAGTAAGTGTGGTGATGTCGCATTGTGTACCACTGCCAAGGCATTACGTATCATAACTATATTACAAAACACGAGTTTAGCTGGCTGGCTGGCTGAATTTGCTGGAGAGAGGGGCACGGGTGCGTGCAGACCGCTCGCTTCGTGAAGAAGAATAAAATAAAAGACCCGCCGGTGAATCGTAGCGCCTCTAGTGGCAGCAAGAAGAGGTCACGTGAGCGCAGCTGATTGCTGTGGCCAGGGTAAAATGATGACGCGGCTCGGCAAGTCGACGAGCAATCACCGCAGGGGGTGAACGTGTTGGGGGTGCGGGAGGAGTGAGCGTGGGTGGGGGGCATAGAGGAGGGGGGGGGTAGAGAGGTTAGGGGTGGGGCGTATTCATGGTCCGTGTCTCCAAACTTACCCCCACCCCATACACACAACGCCCCGAGTTTGAAATGCCGCAGAATTTAAATATTAACGCCGCGCGCGCGCGCGTGTGTGTGTTTGTGTGTGCGTTCATGTGTGCCTGTGTGTGTGTGTGTGCCGGTGTGTGATTTAAATGGGGAGTTGTGGTGCAGTGGTTTTGTGCAATGCGCTACGAACAGGGGGGCCCCGAGAGCTATTCCCTCTGCACGACCAATAACAGTGGACATTCTTTGGGCCTCTCGTAGGTCGGCTCAGCCACAAATGAGTAGCTGAAGTGGAGTGTAAACCATCAGCACTCGGGAGACAAAGGCGGCCGGGCGTGGTGCTGGCCACCCAACCCATCGTGCGCCGTGTCGGCCTTATTCGGCTGCTCACTCGCTATGACGGCGCTTGTCCCTACATCCCGTGAATTTTTACACGGGGGATCTTTGTCTTTGGTATTATTTCATTGAAATGAACTCAGCACCGCGGACAGCGAATTGTGGAGCTGGTCGGATCCAGCATTGCAACGTACGTTTGTCACGCACGTGCAGGCGCTGTCCATGGATCTCATCTCACTCAAAGCAACACTGTACATAGGGTCCGTGGTGTACGTGTGTGTGGGGGGGGTGGGGGGTGTAGCGGTTAGGTGCTCGCTAACAGCACTTGCCCCTACAGTCTGTTAAGGCTATACGGGGGATCTTTGTAGTGGTTAACGCGCCGCGCTACCAAACCCGGCCACGCGAGTTCGATTCGCGCCCACGGCCGACGCCACCAGTGATGAATATTCGAACCGGTCCTGGGCCTCCCCTAGGTCGATTCAGCCTCAAATTAGTAGCTGGTGCGGTGTGTAAACATTGTGCCGCTAAGGAGACAAATGTATTCGGGCGTGGTTCTGGCCATCCAGCCCCTCGTGTGCCGTGCCGGCCTTCATAGGTGACACTCGCTAACAGCACTTGCCCCTACAGTTCGTTAAGGCTATACACGGTGGATTGTTGTCTTTTGTGGCCGGAGCGAAACCCGAAGATCCTAGTTCGATCCCTGCACACGGCCGGCACCATCAGTGAGAATTATTATTATTATTATCCGAACCGGTCCTGGGATTCCCCCCTCGGTCGACTCAGCATTAAAAGAGGCACGTGACACAATGTGTAAAACATCGCCACTGGGGAGACAAAGGTGGCCGGGCGTGGTGCTGGCCACCCACCCACCCCCCTCGTGTGCCGTGCCAACCTTCACAGGCGCTGCTCACGAACGGCGCGTGCCTCCTACGGTCTGTTAAACGCTACCTGGGGGATCTTTGTCTTTGTGTGTGGCGGTGCGTGTACGAGCGAACGAGCGAGCGAGCGAGGCCGACAGACAGACAGACAACCCTCGAGTCAGCAGCGCCGCGAGGCTGACGTCTAAACTTTGCAATGATCTCGACTGTGTTCGCATCAATAATGCAGCCGCGTTAATAATGCAGCCGCATCCGCGAGTTCCGAAAATAACGCAAGACTCGTCGTCATAGTAGTAGCAATAAATGGATTATTATTTTTTTAAGTAGTATTATTAACAGATATATAAATCAAGAACGGACAAACATGTCTCTTAATTGGCGGGTTGCATTTATTCCCCAGATAGAGGAGCCATGAATTACCTAATCACCAGCGTCATTATCATCATCATAATTCACACAGTGAGACGTGGTCTATCTATAGGATGGTCACGAGACCCGGTTTATCCTGCAAATTCTCGCCGATTTCCAACGACCCATCATCAATCCATCAACTCATTTTCATCGCTCCATCTCAGCACA